TTCTGGGGTCTCTATTCTATTCCACTGGTCCCCCTGTCTGTTTTTGTCTAGGTATCTCTTACACATGAGAAAAAAAAAAAACAAAAAACAACAACAACAACAAAAAAAAACAACTACAGAAAAACAATAAAAAAGGAAACTGAGACATCAGGAAATAATTCTGAACCAAGTCTCCTTTTGAAAGTTAAGAAAAGCACGTTTTAAGGCTGGCTCTGTGGTCTATTGGTCAAGACAGCTAGATTTCGCATGACGGATCCCATGGTTTGAGTCCTGGACCTGTAACTTGAAAAACATGCCAGGTATGTATGCATGCCCAAAATCCTGAAAGAAGGGAGAGATAGACTAAAAGGGAAATAAAATAACCTTTAAAAGAAGATTTTGAGTAGGAGAGACAAATATTTGGGATAGGTGGTAAGGATCTACTACGAAAGTAACAAGGGTCCCCTATAGGACAAAAAAAAAAAAAAAAAAAAAAAAAAAGGAATACAGGCCAAAGGGAGAGAGCTTAGCTGAAGAAAACCCTGGAAGGAACATTGGTTGACACCCAATAGCTATTCCCTTCTCCCTTCTTTGATGGTGGCAGAGCCTATCTTCCATAAGAAGCAGAGAATGTCAACCATTTCATTTCCCAGCCTTTCTTGTAGCTAGAAGTATCCACATGCCCTAGATTTTGACAATGAGATGTGCAAGTAAGTCTGCTGGAGAGTTTTTGGAAAAAATTCTCTTTTTAAAAAGAATTAAGTGAGTCAGAAACAGACTGCTCTTCCTAACCCTGCCTGATTCCCTACCTTCCAATTTCGCTTGAGAGTAGGATGTTTAGAGTTACAGCGTGTATGGCTCCTATGAGGCAATAAACCTAAGAACGAAAAAGCAACAGGGCCAGCCTTAAGTGTTCACAGAGGAAGCTGGGGTTTGAATCTTTGGTCTACTGGTAGCAGGCTGAACACGTGCAAGCATGCCCAGGATCCTGACAGGATGGATAATGGGAAGGAGGAGGATTGTGGTATGAACAGGCCCTCTTCGAAGGTTCTTTCTTTCTCATTTGCACACACACTATCAGGAATAAAGGAAAGAAATTTGTTTCTCTATCAGGAATAAAGGAAATAAATGAAAATAAAAACACTTGATTGCTGCCTCCCCCACCACACACAGTCTTCTGAGAGGATCTGCTCTTACATGTAGCTAAAAGCAGGAAGGGGCGAAGGAGGGATATAAAGACCTGGTACTCGATGACATTTTTGAGCTACTGAACCAACCCTGAAGACACTTATTTCAAGATTGTTTGTCTTTTAAAAAAAATATTTATTGGGACGAGCAGTTAGCGTAATGGCTGTCGCTGGACTCCCACGTAGTCAACTGTAGTTCGAGTCCCAGACCCGGTGGTTTAAACTCACGCCGGGCGCGTGTGCGTGCGTGCCTAAGATCCCGAGAGGAGAATGGAGGAGAAGGGATTGCAGCGTGGCCATCCCCCCGGGGGGTGATTTCCTGCTTTCTGTCTCTCTGTCTCTCTCTGTCTGGCGAGTGCACTCGCCTTATAGCAAAAAACCTCTCCAAAAAAAGAAAAAAATATGTTTATTCAATGTTATTTATTATTATTGTTATTTTAAAAACTTGCTATAGGGTACATGCACTCACCAGAGACAGACAGAGGGAGAGAGAGGGAAAATGAGAAAGCAAACCTCCAGGTCTGGGACTCAAACTTCAGTCAGCCATGTTGGAGTCCAGCACCTCAACTACCATGCCACCTACTGGGCCCAAGACTTTTTGTCTTTATTGTTTAGGCCACTGTGACTGAATGTGGCTATATCCATACATTTCCTAGTTATGGGAGTCAGCAAATTTCCTTTTTTACATGCCTAGTTTTGAGTTAGAATTATGTAATACAAAACCAACCTGCATATGTAGGCCCATATAATAGATGTTTATAGCTGAGTATGAGCATAGCTGAAGATTGCAGTACATACCCTTCCAAGA